ATTTGTGTGAATCTTACACGCGATTGAATAGAAATTTAGTCTGTTTTATTCTCAATAAAACAATTTTCAAGTTTAACTAACTATTTATCTAGGTGTTCATGTTTTTACCATTATGTCAATTTGACGTCAAGAAACGAATCAGATTGGAAAAATGAGTGACGTAACAGAATCAAAGGACAAATCTTTGATAACATTTAATTAACTATTAATAGTTCTCCTTTCTTTTTTTCCACGTTTTATTCAATTTTTCTACCATAATATTTCTGCTGGAAATTTAAGTAGTATTCCGCTATAATACTTTTATTATTATTATTTCATTCTCGATACGATTTGTTAGTCAGTTTATCATTCCAGACAATCTTCGCCAATTCTTTTCAATCTCTTCGAGTTCGAGTTGAATAGAAAATTATCGAAACAATTTTCAACCTATTTTGTTCAACTAATTTCCATGCATAAGGTCACTTTGTTGTTACGTATACCTACTCGTATATATATATATATACACGTAAGTTTAGATACATATGACGACTTCGCATATATATAACCGGAACGCAAATATTGATAGTTTGACTAACGATGATACCAGTTGGCGATAAACTTACGTCTGTCAATTACTAAATACTTTCTTACTCCATCTTTTTTCCACTTCGTTCCATTTAAAATCCTCGTGATTCAAATTACCTCGTGACTTGTTAAACATTTAAAGCTGCAAATATCGTTTCATAGATTTCAGTGTTAAATGCGGAATTTGCCGAAGAATATTTTTTTCAAAACTGAGATTTCTAGGCATTAGACTATGATTCGAAAAAAAATCTATATTTATTTATTATGGGACAATATCTAATAAAATGTCTAATTAATCTATATTTATTTGGTCGCGAATTGAATTTATTATTTGGATCATAAAATTTATTAATATTCTATCCAATTAATTTATTGCCTTATTTATTGCTTCTGGTCATTAAATTTAATCATATACCGAAATGTATAATTTCTTGGTTTAATCAATTGAGCTCGGTTCAATTCACTTCAATTTCACCAGCAAGGAAACTTGGAATTGAAATGAAGATTCAGTTCAAATATAATTCTCATTTGTTGATTTATATTCTGTTACTTTCTTTAAAAAATTTGAGCGGCATTGCAAAGCATACATGCAGAGTGCAGTTTCCCGCGAATCATCTATTTTTCTCAAGGAAGAACGGGATATCAAATTAAATATTTAATCTAATCTATTCCCAAATAAATTGTTGGTTTTCTTTTTCTTTCTTAGAACTTTTAGAGAAAGATTCAATCCAAAATAACGTCAAATATATCTGTTCTTTTCATAGAAAAATTAAACACTTTGAGATAAAAATCCAATTAAACCCAATTAAACAAGTCCAGTTTAAATGTTTTGTCATTTCTGATTTATCAAATAACGCACTACGAAGAATATTTAAATTTTTATCAGGCTCTAATCAATTTCCTTTCCAAATTATCTTATTGTTAGTCAATGGGACAAAAAATATTACTGGATAATGTGGGATCTAATGCACACCAGACTTAGTTAATTCTGTAATAAACACAGTCGTATGCAAGCGCTTCACTCCATCGAAAAGAATACTCGTTTTTCAGGAAGCGAAGTGAAACGTTAACTGGCGAATGTCACACAACACCGAGGAGTCGTTTTCTCGTGGCACGCGATCGTTCGATTTCCCTTTCCTTTTTTCTTTTTTTCTTTTCTTCTTTTCCCATTCATTCCCAACACTTCATTGTGAAAAATCGCGTGTCATCGAAGACGGTGCATCCTCAAATTACGCGGGCATTGCTCGATTTTTTTTTTCCCCCCCCGAACGTGCCAAATATTTGACGCAGTATAATTGCATAAGTTCTGCATAAGTCGCGCGTAGAATGCACGCGGAAACGCAGGTTCGATTGTCGATTTTTCTGCGGCCGGATCAGCCGGTTTGCCTTGCAACCTGTCTTTTACACACGATGTACGAGTCACGTGCATTTTATTCACGCTGTGCATCTGCGAAATCGTTCGCTTTACGATCCCGTCGCATATGCTTAGACATCCTTGCTTCAATCTCTTCGAATACGATCTTTGAATAAAGTCGTCAGTCACCGAGTGTATACTCGAAGTAGTTTACACATGTTAAATTTCAAATATTAAAAAAAAAAAAAAAAGAACAAGGATTTGGAACGTTTTATGTATGTATAATAATTTTGTGTATAAAATGTAAATACATAAATATAATTATACGTATGTTTCTTGTGTAGTATGAGAACTTAATCGTTTAACTTGTAGATTAGATTGTAGTTTAATTATAAGTGAACCAGGTGAGATCGAGGGGCTAGATAACTGATAATCCATCACAACCTACCTCCGTTAGCATATAAACTGAAGGAAAGTTAGTAGGCGATGCTCAATTACGCCAAAAACGAAAATAAAAGGGAAAAAGAAAGTGAGAGAGTCGGAGAGAGTTTTGAAGTCCTGCGTTGCTAGTTGATAGACCTAGTTATGTAGTTTAGCTGTGTGAATCACCCGCGATAATTATACATATTGTACAATGTATATTTATATTATATATACATATGTTTTTCTATATTTATATTTGCTTAGAAAGCAAATAAATGGAATTAAAATTTATAAAAGTCTTGTGTAGAATTTTAGTTTTCATGGACATTGAAAAATTTTTTTTATAACCAAATCCATTGTGATTCTGAAGATCGAAGTCTTCCCTTTACAATAATCCTTTAAAATTTGGTGCATGATTTTTTTCTTTTCGCAAAATTACAGTAGTTTTAAAATATCGACAATTTCTTATCGAGTGTACGAATACTTTCGTATATCGTATTTTATTATATTCTCAAAATGTAGGCATATAGATACGTAACTTTCATGTTACGTGATTTTTATAAAGAATCAAGTGTCTGATTGAGACTTACTGGACTCGTACTAGAGAATTTGATGTTCGTCTCGTTTAACTGCTGGGATTTCTTGAACGAAATTGGTAATTGATTTTTAAGCAAGTGATAAGAAGATTAGTGTAACGTGTTATTGATTGAATAGAATTGATAGGAACGGATGATAAACGATAACCTTTTCTCGTGAAACCTTTTTAATCGGCAAACATATTGTTTGGGAACAGTGTAATTGGAACAATGTTTGTTCGAGCCTCTTTGGAGAAAAAATTGCGATTTTTAAATGTACGAAAAAATTTGTCTGAAAGATGCTCCAAAAAATTTT